TGCCTGTCACTGCATCTGTTCAGACTGAACGCCATATGTGCGGCCAGCGAGGAGTATGCAAATGGACACATGCACCGAACCAGACACTATTCTGTCCACACACACACACACACACACACACACACACACGTGGACACTTTTAATAGGTCTCATTCAAACCCAGACAGACACCCTCCTCCCCTAAATTAGCCCAGACATGAACCCTCAAACAAACCCTCATGTTCAAGTGCAAACCCCCAAATCACACAAACACCAGCACAGACCAACCGACATGATGCACAAGCGCCATTTTTGTGCCACGCACACTCGTCTCCACCATTGTGTCAATGAGTCAGTATAAGTCATGCAAAGTCATGCATCACTATTATTACTGCTATTAGTATTACATATTAGTGTTAGCATTCAAACCTTTAAAACGAAATATTAAAGTTGCAATACTTGCATGCATATGATTTTCACCTGGCTATTTTACTGTGGCTTTTATCGTTTATGTATAACATATTTTTAAACAGTTTTTTAATGTGCACTACTGTTAGAAAAAAAAAAGATTTCTGAATGGTTTTGGAAGAAGTATTTTATTGCTCATCAAGGCTGCAATTGTTTGATAAAAATACAGTAAAAACAGTAATACTGTGAAACGTTATTACAATTAAAATAGCTATTCCTGTTTATTCCTGTGATGCAAAGCTGAAAAGCAGCATAATTACTCCAGTCTATTAATATTGCATATCAGTGTTAATGATGTTTAAACCTCTAAACTATTAAAACTGTAATACTTGCATGCATGCAATTTTCACCTGGCTGTTTATATAACATAACATAAACATATATTTTTCAATGAGCACTCCTGTTCAAAAGTAGGATTTTTAAAAATGTTTTTGAAAGAATTATTTTATTGCTCAATGAAGCTTGCATTTATTTGATTAAAGACACAGTGAAAATGTTCAGCCTCATTGCTCCAGTCTTCAGTGACACATGCTGTTTGAATTGCATATTAGAATGAGTGATGTTTAAATCTCTAGAACTCTGTATTAAAGTTGTAATACTTGCTTGCACACCTGGTTATGTTACTGTGGCTTTGATCGTATTTTATAACACAACATGAGGAGCAGGGACACTGAAGTTTGGCTTTAGTCTTACTGATGCATAAAAGGGATGTTTGCTTTGAGTTTCGTCTCTGTCCTCAAACCCGCAGGAGGACGTCAAAGTCTGTGTGTTTCCACAAGGGGAACAAAACAGACAGATTCTGTCCTACATCTCTGACAGCTTCGCTTCATCTAAAAATAAACGTGAAGCGGCGGAATTAGAAGCTAATTTAATCCTGTCTTAGACCCAGTTCATTTGAATTCACTGCTCAATGCATTTGTTTTAATAGTTTGAAATGACTGAGACTGGACACCTACATTGATGTCTCTAATGTCTCAATTGTTTCTATGTGAATAAACGGAGAGTGAATGGACACTTTGGATGAAGCCTCTTGCTTCAGAAGATTAAAATCTCATAAATGTCTCAAACTGTGCTCATCTGCATAGATATGAAAATCTGCAGTCAAAATGTCAAAGATCTCAGTATGAGCACTGCACGATTTGTGGAAAAGTGTAATTTTTCTGATAAATATTTATTCATTCATTCATTCATTGGGCTGCACAATTTGGCCAAAAATGCTGTGATTATACATTATTATTATTACACAAAATATTAAACAAAATGAGAATAATAAGAAATGGTCTTATTTTACTGTAAAATAATCTAGCATTATTATTATTATTATTATTATTATTATTATTATTATTACCAAATAAAATATTAAACAATAAGAAATATTACTGTTGTATTATTTTGCTATAAAATAAAAACATTTAAGAAAAATAAAATATTATTATTATTACTACTACTACTAATGTTAAATAAAAATATAAAACAAAACAAGAAATATTACTATTGTATTATATTACTGTACAATAAAATTATTTTGTATTTAAGAAAAATATAGGCTAATAATAATAATAATAATAAATGATAATGTTATTATTATTACCACTACTACTAAATTAAAATATTAAAATAGAAAAAAGAAATGACACTCTTTTATTATTTTACTGTAAAATAAAAACTCTAGTATTTAAGAAAAATATAATAAAAATAATATTTTATAGTACAGCTGTAAAATTACTCTTAAAGCTGCAGCACATATATTTATTTAATTACATTTCCGAATTTGCCATTTGATATAATTGTGATTTCCTTTTCATTTAAATTAATCATGCATACAAAATGAGCTGAGCTGCTTTTCACATTGATTTCATATCTGTATATTACTCTTTATACTAGCTCTATACTAATATCTTACTGTATGACAACTATTGATCCATTTGGGCCTATTTTTAGTTCATTTTTGGAGGAAACATCTTGAAACTTTAATAAAACACAACTGAATCCTCTATTAAGTGAAACCTCTGAACGATAACATCCTCCACTATATGTTTTTGCATCTAAATCATGATAATTGCAATCACAATAACCACCATAAATGGTTGCGATAGAGGCTATTTACACTTAGTAAAAATAGCAGTATTTTTTGTGATATCATATGCTATTTACACTAAGTGCAAATAGCTATAGATTATATTTATACTATGTTAAAATAGCAGGATATTCTGCTAATTACTTATTGCAAATAGTGGCAATTATCTGCACCTCAGCATTGCAATACATTATAAAACCGTATGCAATAATAACTTATTGAGTGTAAATTTTAATTATAATTCAAATTATTAAATGGATGCCACCTTATTGGGACAAAAGCCCTCCCTACACCTACCCTAACCCTACTCAGTACTTTATTTTCAACTTTTTGATTATTTAAAAATAAAATAAATGCTTTTCTGATGTGATTTGAAATTTGAAAAGGGAGAAAAAAAGTTCGCCAAAAGGCAGATTCGAACCCGGGTCGATCGCGTCAAAAGGAGTAGCCTATGACACATGCTTAACCATCTACGCCACTGAATCTGACAATTGATGATAGTCTTTTGTAATGTTGACTAGCCCAATCACACGTTGGTGGGTGGAGTTACTGTAAATAGCCTCTGCCAACAATGTGGGCTATTTGCGCTTAGTGTTTAAGATTTGCTAAGATTTTTTTTATTATTCCCAATAGTTTAACAGTTGCCCACAGAAAAAAACAGGGGGTGCTGCAGCACCCTCATCAGCACCCCCACATCCCGCGCCTATGCTTTCCATATGGCAGCGAGAGCGGCCCGTCTCAGCCGTGCTGACAGCCCAAAAATGCCTCTTTGAATGGATTGTTTCTCCCGTCCAGAGATTTGCATGCTCGTTCACGAGCGATTAGCTGTGTTCTCCTCCCCCTACAGCTAAATCAAGGATATGCAAATGCAATTAGACAGAGATTGTGAGCAGCTAACGGTGGCACAGATGGTGAAAGGTGACGCCATCTTTTGGAGGGAAACGGCTAGTCGGCAGAAGTGGCTGCTCTTTTAGTCAACTTTTTGGAGGTAAACGTCCATTTTCTCATCTATCTCAACCGTGCTGACGGCCCAAAAATGCCTCTTTGAATGGATTGTTTCTCCCGTCCAGAGATTTGCATGCTCGTTCACGAGCGATTAGCTGTGTTCTCCTCCCCCTACAGCTAAATCAAGGATATGCAAATGCAATTAGACAGAGATTGTGAGCAGCTAACGGTGGCACAGATGGCAAACGGAGAAAGGTGACGCCATCTTTTGGAGGGAAACGGCAGAAGTGGCTGCTCTTTTAGTCAACTTTTTGGAGGTAAACGTCCATTTTCTCATCTTTTTGGAGGGAAACGACCAGTCGGCAGAAGTGGCTGCTCTTTTAGTCAACTTTTTGGAGGTAAACGTCCATTTTCTCATCTTTTTGGAGGGAAACATCCATTTTCTCATCTTTTTGGAGGGAAACGACCAGTCGGCAGAAGTGGCTGCTCTTTTACCCTATTGAAAAAAACAGCATATGCTGATTAGGTATGTTTTGAAGCAGTTGGTTTAAGCTGGTCCTTAGTTGGTTATGAGTTGGTTTAAGCTGGTCCTGAGCTGATTATAAGCTGGTTACGAGCTGGTCCTGAGCAGGATCTAGTTGCTTAGGACCAGCTTAGGACCAGCATATGTCCAGCTAAAACCGGCTCATGACCAGCTAAGGACCAACTAAGGATCAGCTCAAACCTGCTACCATGCTTCAAAACATACCTAACCAGCATATGCTGGTTTTTTTCAACAGGGTAGTCATCTTTTTGGAGGGAAACGGCCAGTCGGCAGAAGTGGCCACTATTTTGTCATCGGTTTGGAGGGAAATGTCAATGTGTAAGTCAGTTATTGGCTTCTTGAAAAAAAAAGAAGTGAATCTGCTGATGCTGATCTAACGCTGATCTGTTCGACCCGACGTATCGACTTCTGACTCAACCAATCACATGATTTTGAGTCAGGACTCTCTGTATGTTTAATTAGTTTGTTTTTAATTCTTCTGAGTAAGCAACCAACTAGCAGCCGTTAATTTTTCAGATCTGATTTGAGCTTTGGATACAGTGAAATATTTGACCGCCAGGCCGGATACGATGCGTTCAAATCAAACCTATGAGCGTGAGCTGAGATTACCAATATTTTTGCACTAAAACATTATTCTTTAAACACTCTCTTATGTCCTAAATGATCCTTTTATGCGAATAAACTGATAATAATTATAATAATTTAATGTGAATGCGACAATCACACACAAATGTCGGAGATGGCAGAAAGGAGAATAAACATTACTCAGCATCCTGTAGCAACCTCAAAGCAACGCCTTCACAACCACCTGCATCATGGCAGTGAATTTTGTGAAAATGTAAAAATCAAGTTGTTTTTGCAGTTCCGTTTGCCACAGAAATGACACACGTAACATGTAAGTAATTGGGTTTTGAGTTCCAGAGATTGAGGCTGTTTGATTGTGTCGATGTGAACTGCACAAAGAGCCAATGAAACGCAAGCACTCACCTCCTCCTGATCTCCCATCATTCCCATCATTCCCGGCCTCCACATTCTCCTGCTGGAGAACACACATTCATCTCTCCATCTCTCCAAATGCTCCTTCAGCGCTCCTTACACTGCCTTCCCTGCAGACAGAGACGAGTGTGAGACGTCAGACTGCTGCTTATGCCTTCAGGTGCTTCATGCAAAGAGTTACAGTTTATGAAATGTTTGTTTCTACATACAGATAGGGGAAATAAATGTGTGTGTGTGCGTGTGTGTGTGTGAGTGTGTGTGTGTGAGTGTGTGTGTGAGTGTGTGTGTGTGAGTGTGTGTGTGAGTGTGTGTGTGTGAGTGTGTGTGTGAGTGTGTGTGTGTGAGTGTGTGTGTGAGTGTGTGTGTGTGAGTGTGTGTGTGAGTGTGTGTGTGTGAGTGTGTGTGTGAGTGTGTGTGTGTGAGTGTGTGTGTGAGTGTGTGTGTGTGAGTGTGTGTGTGAGTGTGTGTGTGTGAGTGTGTGTGTGAGTGTGTGTGTGTGAGTGTGTGTGTGAGTGTGTGTGTGTGAGTGTGTGTGTGAGTGTGTGTGTGTGAGTGTGTGTGTGAGTGTGTGTGTGTGTGTGAGTGTGTGTTGATGCTTCATGTTTGCATGTGTTTTTGGTAATAATCTCATATGCAGCAATAAACAGCGTAGCAAAAACTAATAAAGATGACAAAAACGAAACACAGCAAAATTACTAAAACTAATAAATAAAATTCATGAAAAAAATGAATAAATAAAAATGAATTAAACCATATAGACATTTAAAAAAAGGATAATACACAATAAAATTACTAAAATTAATTAATAAAAATTAATGAAACCATATTGACATATTTCTAAAAAAAAGATTTTTTTAAATGACAAAAACACAATAAAATCACCAAAAATAATTAATAAAAACTATATAGACATTTAAAAAAACAAATTTTTAAATCCAATAAAAATACAAAACAATACACAATTACTAAAACTAATAAATAAAAATGAATGAGAACTAGATAGACATTTAGTCATTAAACTATTTAGTCATATTTAGAAAAAACTAATAAAAATTACAAAAACACAAAATTACTAAAACCAATAAATAAAAATCTATGAAAACATTTAAAAAATGAATAAAAATGACAAAATCACACAATAAAATGACTCAAATTAATCACTAAAAAACAACCTGTTTAAAAAAAGAAAAAGAAAAATTTACGAATTTTACAATATTGATGTAAAGCTGCATTGAAAAAATCTGTACTGTATAGTATAAGAGCAATTGGAATAAATGTGAATAAATACAAATGTAAGCTTTTTTTAACCAACCGTTTTATTTTGCAAATGTGATTTTGACAAATGCTTTTATATTGCATTCAAAGTTTATATTTTCATTCTTGCATTCATAAATTGGTGGGTTGAGCATGCATGAGATTTAAAATGAGAATTATTTTAAACCTCATGCATGAGAAGCGTGAAGCGTTATGTATCTCTGTATGTGTGTTTGCAGTATGATTCTCTGAATCTCAGGCCGACTGGAGACGTGTTTTCTGTGAACTTAAACACACATGCAGTTCTGAAGCATAAGAGCTTTTTATTTGTTTCCCTGCTCGTTGGCACTCATAATTTGTAACCATAGTAACGACCCCCTTCTCCGCCGCATCCTCGCCATCGAGAAGGAAAGAGAGAAGCTGAATGTGATGCATGTGAATATTTGGGGGGAGTTTGTGCTGATGCTGATCCTCTGAATACGTCAGATCAGCTGCTTTGATGCAGGTGCCGGAGAACAGAATAAAAGCGCTTTGCAGCTCATTTCACTAGTTTATCCGTGTTCATCTGTAGAGTCGACATGAAACCGCAGCTGCAAGTCCATTTCACTTACATACTATGAAGTGAGAAAAACAGTATATTTAATCAGCACTGTAACCATTGCATGAACTTCTGAGGACGCTTTCTGTGACTGAAGGTCACGTTCACACTCCAGAGCATCACAGCTGTCTTTTTTTACTATTATATTAACTTTTATATGAAATAGGGAATGTTAACAGGCATTACTAAGTATTAGCAGGTTTTAGAGGAAGAAAAGGCTACACAGAAATTTGACTATTAATTAACATTATTTCCAGCCTTGGTGACATCAGATGAAAAATAAACATCATTTCAGATTTTTCACAGCAAGTTAACCGATGAAGACATACTTTTTTTCTTTACATTGATGAATTGTTCACAATAAGACCAGGGATCAATTTTGAGTTAAAATGCATCACATATGTCTTAAAAACAGGGTTAAGGTTAGTTAACTAAAACTAAAACCATAAAAAACAATTCATTACTTAAAATAAAATGCATGTTAACTGAAATAAAATGTTTTAAAAAAATTGAAATGATTTATATATATATAAAAAAATTATACAAAAAATAGCTCACATAAAGTAAAAATGTATTTTATTTCAGATAGTTGCCAAGGCAACTTTTATTAATTATAATTCAGTTTAACTAAAAATAAACTAAAACAAATAAACAAAAATTAATAACAACTCTATAGACATATTTAAAAAATAAAAAAACCTAGTAAAAATTACCAAAACACACAACAAAATTACTAAAACTAATAAATTAAAATTAATTAAAAAAACTATATAGCTATTCAAAAACACAAAAACTAATAAAAGTGGCAATACTCAGATGAATAAAGCTAATAAATAATCAAATAAAAAGCTATATACACATATTTAAAAAATAAAAACGTATAAAAATGACAAAAATACAACAATAATTACCACAACTAATAAATAAAAGTAAAAGCTATATAGACATTTAAAACAATAAAAACTAGTAAAAATTTCGAAAATACAACAAAATTACTAAAACTAATAAGTAAAAAAACTATAGACATTTAAAAATATTTATAACTAAAAAAATGTGACAGAAACATAACAAAATTATTAAAACTAATAAATAATTTTTTAAAAAAACTTTTAAAAATAAAAAAGAAATTAAAATGACAAAAACACTTAAACTTTAAAATTAAAGTGAAAACAGAAAATATATTTAAAAAAATTCTAAATATGAAAAAACTATAATAGTTATATAAATTATACTAAAATAACGCTGCTTAGAAATGCAGAGACACCATAATTAACAACAAAAAATATCCAGATATGATTCCCTTTACAAATGCATTGTAGATTTTTTTTTATATATATAGAGACATTTGTCCATATTTATATGAATGGCAATGTGTCCAGAAACATCCAAAACACCAGCATGGACAGCATCAATGTCAGTCGAGGTATTTCTCTTCCCTAAACGTCTGTAAAGGCCCCCAGAAAACCAACATTTATTTAAGCTGAGGCTTTGTTTGTGCAGCAGCTCCGGGTCCATGGGACCATCACCTGCGCCGCGAGTCCTTTAAGAGCCGGCCGACTTCTCAAAAGCTTGAGTGAAGAGCTGCTCAAAGAGTACATTCAGTACATTACCACCCTACACATCTCCTCACAATACACACGCAAGCATCCACACACTGAGCTAATTACAGGGAGACTCCCGTCCCATTTGCATCTGAATCACGGGAACAAAGGAGGAGAGACGCGCTGGCTCCTATTTACTGAAAGGACAGGCTTGTGTCTTTGAGGTTCTCCTACATAAAGAAGGGTAAACAAGGCCCCGGCGAGTTAATTGAGCATCAGCTCATTAGACTAAAAACACACAGCCATAGCAAATATACTAATACTGTATATATTCTTATATATTTAATGCATTTTAATATCTCATTTGTTTCTCTTTTTCAGCAGTGAGACATTTTCTGGTGTTTCTCCTGATCAAAAAAAAAGTGTCAAGAAGAGTCTCAACTTTGTCTCAAACTGTCTCAAAGTGTGCAATGAAAAGTTAATATAAATTCAAATATTTCTCATCTAATGATCTGAGCTGCTCCGCACTCATTTTATAGCTTGAAACTCTTGCTGGATGACAAATACTGACTGTTTTTTTAAAGATGAGTTATCAAAACAGTTTGAAACATAGTTGAGAAGCTCACAAGTCTTCAGAGCCATAAAAGAGCAACATCTAAGATAGAAGCTCCAATGCTGATTGGAAATGGTTTGAGAATTACACAATTTTACTCCTTTGAGATCATATATTATCAATGAAAAGCTTGGGGTTGGTAAGATGAAGAAGTCTCTTCTGCTCACCAGTGCTGTTTTCTATGTGAATATGTTCAAATGTAAGTGATTGCTGTATTTTCAGCATCATTACTCCAGTCTTCAGTGTCACGTGATCTTCAGAAATCAGTATAATATGCTGCTTTGCTGCTCAAGAAACATTTCTGATTATTATCAATGTTGAAAACAGTTGTGCTGCCCGATATTTTTGTGGAAATTGTGATACATTTTATTTTTCAGGATTCACAGATGAATAGAATTTGAATAGAACTATTTGAATAGAATAGAACTATTTGAAATATAAATATTTTATAATTATAAATGTATTTAACTGTCATTTTTTGATCAATTTAATGCATCTTTGATAAATAAAAGTATTAATTTCTTTAAAAAAAGAAAGATTTTTGAATAGTAGTGTGTCATATATTATCATATTTATACACAAAACATGTATGCCAAGAAATAATGCAAAATATCATAATATAATTGAGTCCATGTGTTTTTACAGGCCTTAAATGCTTAACTTTTTAATTAATTCAAGTTATGAGTATTTTAAAATGATATATCCGCCCTGACCATCAAGCTTATTTTATTCAGAACTGACGTCACTTTTAGATCAGCGTGATGCAGCTCTTCTCCAGAGTGATTCCTGGAGCCGGTAATGATATTCCAAACATTTTCCCACATTCAAAAGTGGGACAAATTCAAATTCAAGAAGGTTCTGAAGCACTGCTCATTCACACACACACTCACTCACTCACTCACACACACTCACACTCACACGCACACTCACACTCACACTCACCCTCACACTCACACTCACACTCTCACTCTCACTCTCACTCACACTCACACTCACTCTCACTCACACACACACTCACACTCACTCTCACTCACACACACACTCACACTCACTCTCACTCACACACACACTCACACTCACTCTCACTCACACACACACTCACACTCACTCTCACTCACACACACACTCACACTCACTCTCACTCACACACACACTCACACTCACTCTCACTCACACACACACTCACACTCACTCTCACTCACACACACACTCACACTCACTCTCACTCACACACACACTCACACTCACTCTCACTCACACACACACTCACACTCACTCTCACTCACACACACACTCACACTCACTCTCACTCACACACACACTCACACTCACTCTCACTCACACACACACTCACACTCACTCTCACTCACACACACACTCACACTCACTCTCACTCACACACACACTCACACTCACTCTCACTCACACACACACTCACACTCACTCTCACTCACACACACACTCACACTCACTCTCACTCACACACACACTCACACTCACTCTCACTCACACACACACTCACACTCACTCTCACTCACACACACACTCACACTCACTCTCACTCACACACACACTCACACTCACTCTCACTCACACACACACTCACACTCACTCTCACTCACACACACACTCACACTCACTCTCACTCACACACACACTCACACTCACATTCACACACACACACACACACACACACACACACACACACAGCTGGCCCCCTATTATTTGGACATAGATCACAGATCTTATTGAATGTCTCGCAGTGAGACATTCCATCTAAGTTGCTATGTGTGGGTCTAACAGTCTAACAGCCATCCTGTCTGTCTGCATCCATCTGTCTCACTCCTCCCGAGACACAAGGCCAAGTTTAACGTGACAGATTGATGATGGAAAATAATTAATAAACCTTTGCTGCTTGATGATCTTTGAAGTAAAACAAAGCATGTTTAATGAATTTTATCCTGTATTTTAGGGTTTTTAGGCTTTTTAATAAAGCTCTTAGTAAAGTTTTAGTATATATATACATATACATATATAAATTTAATTTACAAATTATAACTTTTCTATATAATATATATATGCCATTTCTTTCTATTTCTATCTATTTCCACCTGATTTGGTTTTGTAGTGTAACCAGGTTGATTCAGTCATATTACATAATATCTTGTAAGTTATTTATGCAATAAGCCACAGGATGTACTATGATTTTACCCCTTGTCTTTGGTTAAAATCACTGTAATGCACTGATTTTAGTGGCTTATTGCTTTTATAAAATGATGAAATAAACGATAAAGTAGCAGTAAATGACAATTTAATGATAACACAGAAATACAATAAAAAACACCTGTGTTACATAAATGAGTTTGTATGTGAAAACTGTCAAAACTCTGTTTTATATTTTAGGTGATGCAAAACATTTTGCAATGCAAGTAAACGTCTCATAAATACAAACGTGAAGGGGAAGCTTTATGTAAGAAACAGACTAAATGAAATGCATGAGCCGCAGCTCCGTCTGTCTCTCTCACTCTCTGTCTCGTCAGACAGCTCGTTAATTTGCACAACTTCGATATGTTCTTTTTCTTTCTCTGTACGTATATATTAGCAGTGTGACATGACCCTGGCGGGCTGAGGGGCTGTTTTGTGTCTGGCTGGCCGTGGGAAAAAGAAGCCCGCTCTTTTCACAGCTGCACTGCACCAATGGAGACCCCGGCTCCCCCCGATCCCAAACCCCCGCCTTCATAAATACATCTCATTATTCAAGCTCTAGTTTGCATAGAAATGTTAAAGAGGGCTGCTTTCCTGGACACTCCATCCGTAACAAACAACAGCCACCTTAAACGTGCTCGTTGTATTCTTCGAACAAGCAAGACGCTGTTTTCAGTTTAGCTGGTTGTGCATTCAGAAAGAGACATTTAAGGAAGTGCATTTGAATAATTTTTGTTGTTATTTAACACTAAAAGAACACTGTTTTTGGTTTAGTTGGCTGTGCATTTAACAAAAAAAAAGTTGTTTGTGGATATGAATTTATTGGTTATTCTTTAACGCTAAAATAACACTGTTATTCAGTTTAGCTGTCTGTGCATTGGTCTAGTTGGTTGTGAATTTGAAAACAGTCATTTATGGAAGTGAATTTGAATAATTATGAGTTTTTGTTGTTATTTAACACCAAAATAGTGTTTTTTGTTTAGCTGTTTGTGCATTCAGAATGTATTTTTTTTTTTAAGTAATGGTTTGTATTGTTGTTCTTTAGCGCTAAAATTACACTGTGTTCAGTTTAGCTGTTTGTGCATTTAGAAAGAGTTGTTTGAGGGCGTGCATTTGAATAATTATGAGTATTTGCTATTGTTCTTTAACACTAAAGTAACACTGTTTTCAGCTTAGTTTTGCATTCAGAAAGAGTTGTATATGGAAGTGCAATATAATAAATATTAGATTTGTTGTTCTTTAAATCTAAAATAACACTGTTTTTAGTTTAGCTCTGTGCATTTAGGAAGAATCATTTTAGGAAGTGACTCTTAAGAATTCTGGATTTGTGTTGTTATTTACACTAAAATAGCACTGTTTATTTGTGGTGCATTCAGAAAGAGTTGTTTGAGAAAGGAAATTTGAATAATTATGGGTTTTTGTTGTTATTTAACACTAAATTAACACTGGTTTTCGGGTTAGCAGTTTGTGCATTTGGAAAGAATCATTTATGGACTTGAATTTTAATAATTGTGGGTATTTGTTGTTGTTCTTGAACACTAAAATAACACTGTTTTTAGTTTAGCTGTCTGTGCATTCAGAAGAAAATCATCAATCATTGGTGAATGTAAATTTTACATGTTGTAATGTTGTTGTTTAGCATGAAAATAACACTGTTTTCTATTTAGTCGTCGGTGCATTCAGAAAGAGTCATTTAAGGACATGAATTTTAAGAATTATGGATTTTTGTTATATAACACTAAAATAACACTGTTTTTGGTTTAGCTGGTTGTGCATTCAGAGAGAGTCGTTTGTGGAAGTGAATTTGAATAATTATGGCTTTTGATGTTCTTTAACACTAAAATACAAGTACAAGTACAGTACAAGTCTTAGATAATTATCCTAAACATTATGTTATGCACTGATACATGAATAGAGTATGTTATGTTCAAATTCCTCAGAATTCAGAATCTTGAAGTGTCTATTTAGAACCTATTCTGTATTCTGCATTAATGATGTTTGTTTAATGTGCTATCTGGTTCATGTGCATTCGTTTTTGATAAAGAACAAAAAAAAAGTGTTTTTGTGCAAGTAACCTTTACTCTGAGTTTATTCTGATGTTTTGGTAATCTCAGCGATGAAATAAACCATAAATCTGGGAGTATGCATTCATTAATAACACAAACTACTGACTGTAGATCCAAAGAGATGAAAACCAAACCCTCTGAGCAAAATACCGCTATCAACACACACACACACACACACACACACACACACACACACACACACACACACACACACACACACACACTCTCACACACACTCACACAGACACAGACACAGACACAGACACACACACACACACACAAATGACTTAACATCCTAATTCTATTTTAGAAATGTACTGTGAATAAAACTAAATCAAATTAGGCAAATTGCACGATAAAACCGTTTTTATGAAGCACATATTACAATATATGATTCTACACTCTAAAAAATGCTGGGTTAAAAACAACCCAGTGCTGGGTAAAATAGGGACAAACCAATGTTTAACCCAACCTTCTGGGTAGTAACCCAACCGCTGGGTCAAAACAACCCAATTGCTGGGTTTGTCCCTATTTTACCAAGCACTGGGTTGTATTTAACCCAGCATTTTTTAGAGTGTAGTAGAATATTTACAGTAGCCGTCGCTGTCTGTGTGCTTTGAGTTTGTGAAACAGATTCAATGGCAGTGGATTAAACTGAAGATGTTTTACCTGTGTGGACTGAAGCAGAGCTCAACATCCATGAGACGCTTTCGACACAAGCTGAAATTAAAGAGACAGAGAGAACATTAGAATTGATAATATTTCATATATTTCACATCACTGACAGGCAACATTGTGGTCGTTTTCACTGCTTTTGGAAGTGTTATTATCACAAGCTGTGGGTTACATGAGTAATAATTCTTAAATTTAATAATGCTTCCTATTTAAAGAGGAACTGAACCCTTGATGCATATTAGGCTACTATATTAAAATATGCTTGCATCATGTTTCAACATAACAAACTACAATATTAGTGCTATCATTTCTGTCATGCTTCCTAATGGAATTTGTAAGTCATTTCACTGACACTCTCTTGATATAAAGCTGATTATTATCATGGAAGAAGAAATGAAACACAACACAAGCATGCTAATTCAAACGCAATTTGCATTTCACCTCCAAAAAAATGCCTATAAATCTACAATAAGCTGTCGAATACGTAAAACGCCTTCACGGCCTGAGATGAGCTGGACGTATATTTAAGATGCATCCATGCGGCTCTGAGCCTTTAGTGTGTATTATGCTAAAGCTATGCTACGGCATAAGGAGCGACTGCTAGTCCAGGATTTATAATAATACAACGGTATTCTTCAGAGTACCATGCTACAGTATAAACCTGGGTTGTGTTGTGTATGTTATTGTACACTGTCAGTTTGTATTTTGTGCAGATAATGTGTATATTTGTGTATATTATGGGTTGTTCTCTTGGATTCATAAAGCACAAGCCAAAATAAAATTAATTTATGTGCTTTTCTAGCAAACAAAAAACTTTCTCAGAATGTTCTCTGCAAGGTTTTGTCAAATTTATGAACAAATATTCTTTCAATACTATAATAGAATGAGTAGAATGTTCATTCTGAGTTCTCTGGTCTTTGATAATGTTCTCAAAACATTAGCACAAAAATATTATACTTCATTCTTCATTCTTTTTTACATGTTACTGCTTGTTTCAGAATGTTCAGAGAACAGCAACATTTCCATAATGTTTGCAAAATCATAAAATGCAACATTATACATTTTTTAAAAAATGGACGTTTTGAATGTTCAGAGAACGTGACGTTTTCATAGCATAATGGGAACGTTAGCAAAACGTTCTTGGGAACATTCAAACATGTCATTTTTGTGGTTCATTCAATATGGATATTGAGGAACACTTAAATGTTTTTATGAATGAAATCAGTCTTGCATTTCCATATTCTTATTCTGATCCAGAACATACTGATCTGTCAATTAGAAAGACTCTCATTGCCAGTGTTTCTACATGAAATGTGAATATGATGCCCAAATATTCCTTGTTCATGAATGCTCTGAAACATTAGGCCATCTTTGTTATTTATGCATTATTTACGGAACGTTTTATTTTAGTTAGACTAATGTTTTTTAATGTTACAACTAGATTTAAAAGATACTGTAATAGAATGAGTAGAATGTTCATTCTGAGTTCTCTGGTCTTTGATAATGTTCTCAAAACATTAGCACAAAAATATTATACTTCATTCTTCATTCTTTTTTACATGTTACTGCTTGTTTCAGAACGTTCAGAGAACAGCAACATTTCCATAATGTTTGCAAAATCATAAAATGCAACATTATAAATTTTTTAAAAAATGGACGTTTTGAATGTTCAGAGAACGTGACGTTTTCATAGCATAATGGGAACGTTAGCAAAACTTTCTTGGGAACATTCAAACATGTCATTTTTGTGGTTCATTCAATATGGATATTGAGGAACACTTAAATGTTTTTATGAATGAAATCAGTCTTGCATTTCCATATTCTTATTCTGATCCAGAACATACTGATCTGTCAATTAGAAAGACTCTCATTGCCAGTGTTTCTACATGAAATGTGAATATGATGCCCAAATATTCCTTGTTCATGAATGCTCTGAAACATTAGGCCATCTTTGTTATTTATGCATTATTTACGGAACGTTTTATTTTAGTTAGACTAATGTTTTTTAATGTTACAACTAGATTTAAAACTTTACTTGAACATCAAAAAGCAACATTTCCATAATGTTTGCAAATCATAGATTGCAACATTTCCTTAACATTAAAAAAAAAAACTGGAAGTTTTGAATGTTCAGAAATCACGGCATTTTCATAACTTAATGGGAACATTAGCAAAACGTCTTTGTCTTTGTCAGCCGGGATTCAAGAACATATAATATGGATACACTTAAATGTTTTTATGCATTCTCAGAAAAAAAAGGTGCAAAAGCTATTAATGAGGCAGTACCTTTTTCAAATTAAAGGTACACTTTTGTACCTTTTAGGTACACTCTTAAAAATAAAGGTGCTTCAAAAGGTTCTTCAAGAAGAACCATTTTTGGTTCCACAAAGAAGCATTCAGTCAAAGGTTCTTTAAAGAAGCATCTCTTTCTTAGCTTTTTATAATCTGAAGAACCTTCTTTAGCCACAAAGAAGCTTTTGTGAAACAGAAAGGTTCTTCAGATGTTAAAGGTTCTTTATGGAACCATTTAGACAAAAAAAAGGTTCTTCTATGGCCTCGTGAAGCACCTTTATTTATAAGAGTGTACTTATATGTGCATTTAAATTACCAATATGGGCCCTTTAGACACAAATGTGTAACTTTTGATAATGTAGGCTACTGCCCCAGTGACAGGTTTAAACCTTTTTTTCTGAGAGTTTGAATGTTATCAGGCATGCATCTCCATATTCTTATTCTGATCCAGAACAAATGGATAGGTTAGAAAGACTCTCGTGTAGCTATATGATGCCCAAATATTCCTTGTCCATGAATGCTATGAAACATTAGGCCATCTGACTTTGGATTACTTTCAAACCGCACAAAAATGTTTTTATAACTTAATGGGAACGTTGGCATAACGTTCTTGCAATGCATTTTTGTGAGCTGGGATTCAAGAACATACAATATGGATACTGAAGTACACTATGAATGATATCAGTCTTGCTGGCTCATGCATTTCCATATTCTGATAAAAAATAAACCGATCTGTCCATTATTGTTTCTACAGAAACGTGAATGATTCCCAAATCTAACACTGGTCCATTTTACTTTGGATTAGTGCTTTCTGCGTGTTACGCTATTAACACCGCGTGAAACGAGCCCAAAACAACCGCACAACAGACCGACACCGACATCCGCATCAGGCTCGAGTCAGAGCAAAATACACGGCACCACACACCGGCAGCACCGCCAAAGGCCCAGAGAGGAACAGTCGTGCGCCTGAAACACACACACACGCGTGATGGACGACGCTGTGCGTAGGCTACACGCGCTCCCTGAACGCAATATGAGTCATTAACGCATTCCACACACATTTCTACTGCAATTCAGTTTTAGGCATGCATTCTGTCCATGCACTTCCACAAAAGCCTCTATGGCGCGCTCGATCCCGGTTCTCTCTCTCTCCGTGTCTCCGGCTCTGCGGTTCATGAAGTCAGTGGGATTAGTTTCTACTTTCGGTTCTCTAGCTTTATGATATTCATAAACTCATACAGCTAGATAACCAAAGAGAAAAACTAGCCCGTGCGTGTTAAAGGGGCCGCGGCGCTCCGGTGAGAAATATTGAGAATGAAGCGCTGGTCCTGAACACATGCACGACTGTTTCACCACGATTCACAACTCAGTGAGGACTCAGAAACAAACTGAGAGCTTTCAGACATCGGCTTAATTCAGTCTCATTTCTATTCATCAGCATAAGGCACTTTATTAAAATCTCCCTCACACACACAGGTGCAGCAACTCAAATAAACTCAGTAGGGTTGTGTTTTGACCAAAAACCTAACAAAAACAGATAGCATTTATACATTTGTGGAGCTCTGATGTTGAACTTGGATATGTATGGTCTATTATTTACATGAACTGATCAACAGAATCATGCTTATTTCCATATTCACTCAAAATAGTTTTTCACAGACATATCTCTGTTAAAACATAACATGGTGTCTGCACCTTTGCAGTGCAAGTATCAGTACTGTATAAAGCGCTATATAAACAAAGGTGACTTGACTTGCATGGATGCAATTAGAGATACAAATGAACTATTCAAAGACATACCTTATTTCTGATGCTCAGATCATTTGGGTCACTCCACATGCTTTTATAAATCCAAAGAGTGTTGGTTAAGGCTTCGGTTGTTGTTTTAATAATGCCATCAGGCCCGAACATCTGACTAAATATGAAACACATGCTTCAATCTTCAGAGCAGCATCTAAGAAGCAACTGACCTCATTACAAATGAAAAGCCCATCCCACATCCTGTGACTCCGCCTCTTTCTCACAAGTCTACTTAGTCTTTTATTTCAACAAATGGGGACACACCATAGACTTCCACTGTTTTTATATAAAGTTCTTTATACATGCATTATACACCTCAATCCCTGAAAGAAAACCTTTTGCATTTTTAGAATAATACAAAAACATTTTAATACATTTTATGTGATACATATATCTATATCCTATTTTTTGGAAAAAATAAACACACACACACACACACACACACACATACACACACACACACACACACACACACATATATATATATATATATACATATACATACACACACACACACAAACCAAAAAATGTATTCAATCTCTACATGTATGTATTAAAATCTATTTATCGTACTCTACACACATAAGCTGTTTTTCTCATTTTACGCTGTTATTCATTTAACGTGTTTCATATTTCCATAGAGGCCCAGAGTCACTCCATGAATAGCATTCGTTACCATGACAGTAAAATTACTACAATGAATGTGCTTTTCAGATGACAATGACCGCGAGAGTCTAAATTTGCAGCGTGCTCTGAATATAGATATAATTCATCCCGGAAAACTCTAAAATAACAGCAGACATTCAGCCTCAGAAATAACAGTTGATATGAATGGATGATGCTGAGTAATCGGATTAATTTCTGATTTTACACACAGACCTCTGATTCTCTGTGTCTGAGAGTCAATTATAGGGAATTATTTAGGCCTTTATAATTTGTTAAAGTAGGTTTTAT